GCGAGCTTGGTGACGATCTTCGGCCACACACGGTGCATGGCAGGACGAATACGCGGGTGAGCCTGCCACACCGGCAGCCACATTTCGATGCACTTGGTGGGGAGGGTGATGGCTGGGTCTGCCCCGTGAGCCCTGAGGTCCAGACTGTTGACAAGCACCTGCCTCGACTAGAGGACGAACGTGCCTGTCCGAATCTTCGCCGCGCTGCCGCGAGCTGATGCCCGGAAACCCCGTGAACTTGGAAACCGCGAAACCCTGCTGGGATGTCGCCCTGACGCTCCAACTTGGCCATCGCAGTGCACTGCCGAGACGCCCTGGTGAAGCGTCGGATCTTCTTGCGCATGGCGAGGTGCTTGGCGCTTGGCCTCGCGCTTCACGCGCGCCACTCGAGCGTGGCGCCCGCAGCCGAAGTCCACCCCTAAGTAGGCAGCTTGGCGGACAGGCTGGACGTCGTAGCCAGCGCGCCGCACTGCCTTGGCAATGGCCACCGCATCCTGGTAGGTGGTGCACATCGCGACCGACGTGGCTGCCGCGCGTAGGCGACGCCCGGCCGGCCCCCGACAGGTGCCCAGCAAACATTGCGTCATCATCTGTCTCACTGCTGGCCTCGACCCCTTGGCCACCTGCGATAGATCATCTATCCGCAACCTATGGCCCAGGCGGGCATTGGCCGTTGTCACCGTCTTCATGACGTAATGCGTGAGGATCTTAGCGAATATGGTGCCTGAGCGGAGGCCCTGCACCACGCTCTGACTCGGGTTGAATGCCTCGCTCGCGGCGTCCAGATGCTCCCCCGTTCTCGGTGCTATACACTGCAACAGTTCCAGACAAAGAATAACTCGTGGAAGCTGCAATCTCAATGCCGCGGCCACGGGCGGGGCCCAAGGAGTTGAGTCGTAAAATGCTTCAATCTCAACGATACCGCGCCCGCACTGCATACCAAGGTTGTTTGCAACCTCTTCGTCTATGGATCTCAAAAAAGCCTGTTGGAGGCAAGAACTGCCTTAGATGGCAGCGTCCCAGCGTTGAGTTGTGGCTGGGGACAAATCTTGAACCTCGCACTCTCGAATCTTGGGCCATAGCTTACCAATCATTGACACTAAACCAATTCCACGATCAGTACCTGCCTTCTTTGGTATTAACTTCACAACAATCAGGGATGCCTGGATTGGCCACGCCAAGGGCGCTTCAACAGCTTCAGCTATCAAAACCAGTTCAGCCAGTCCTGCCCTGGGAATTCTCTGAAAGTCAACAGGGGTCAAGAGGTCGATGCCAAGTCCAGCCTCGGGTCTCATCTGCGCCGCCGCCTGAAGCACCTTGTCTACGGTAATCGGAGGCAGCGGCCCGTCGGCCGCAACAGCCCGCATTTGCCTAAGCAGCTCCTTGATCGTTGAAAGGTCTGGCGGCACTGGAGCCCATAACTTGTAAACGCCCTGCCCTTAACGTCCATGATGTCTTTGGGATGAAACACTGTTGCTTCGCCTGCCGCGATCTTCAGCGCTGGGAGCGGAGTAGGTTTCAATGCCTTGTGGAGAACCCCCACAGCCTCGGTCTCAGCTGCCCAGCTGCGGAAATCTCGCAACGACGAAAGCACGGCCTGCTGTTGTGCCCTCTTGGCGATGCGCTTGGCGCTCTCTTCATGGGATTGCAACAAGACAGGACCCTGTCGACCCGCCCGTTCAGAAGATTGAGGCAGACGTGCCGAGGCGGGCCCCGTCCCGCTCGAAGAGGTAGGCGTGCGCCTTCAGGTCGGCCCCCGCATAGTTGGACACAGGCTTCTCGATACCTCTGGACCTGACGATCACCACTAGCTCGTGCCATGTGTCTGGTCAGGCCCGCAATAACTGCGTGAGCTCTTGTCCACCGCTGGGCCTTGAGGTCACGAAGATGTAGCTGGCGGCAGTGCGCCGCCTCGTGTAGAGGTTTGACCACAAGGCGCGGTCCGCGGGTCCGACTGACTCCCGACATCTCCACTCCATGGTGCCTGGTAGCAGCGGCCTCGAGCGTCTGGACCCACGCGGAATACATTCCCCATGCAGTCGAAGCGTGGGCTACAGTGAGCGAAAAGGCTACGGGGGAGAGCATGGGGGGGGGGACCTGATCTATACACTGGCTCCCTGAGGTGGAACCGGCCCCGCGCCGGCACTCATCCCACAGGCCCCTCGGGATCTTAAAAGAAGCTTCGGGCACGGTGTCCCCAGGGCCAGAAGGTTTGTGGCCACCACCTCGCTGCTGGCGACCCACAGCTTCGGGGGGCTGGCTCGAATGCGGGGGGAGGCTGAAAGACGCGCCGTTCACATTACAGGGGCGAGACGCCCTGGCATCTGCGCCGCCGGTAGCACCCCGACTCTCGTCGAGCTCAAGCCGCCCGAAAGAGGACGGAGAAGGGGGGGGGGGCATTTTCCCGCGGCTGGGATCGGCAACAAACTTGCACTGGTCGGCCCGCGGATCGGGCTCGCCTGGCCAGTCGTCGAGCTTAGGATCCTCCATGGGGCCCCCCACGGTAACAGAACTGGGGGGCGGGTTACTGGCGGGCTCTTCGCCTTCAATGCGAGACGATTTTGACTGAATTCAGCCCCCAAACATGTCGTGCAACCTAGTCGCTCTAGCTTCTGCAGCTGAGCGTCGCACAATCTCCTGACGGGCTTTAGCAATGCTGCTCCTAGACCCTGCAGTGGGCTCCTGCCGCGGCCTAGGGGGCCGAGGGGGCCAAGAGGGGGCCTCGAGCACGCGAGTGATGAGTTGGAGCCCAGAACTCCGAAGATTAACCTTGAGTCCCACATGCATGGGGCGTCTCGCACAATAAACACATTGCGAACAGAAGAGACGGCCGCGGGCGAGCACACCAAATAATCATTCAAGGTACATGATCATTTTTGGGGGGCGCATGCGCCTGCTCCCGCCTTCTGCCGCGCGAACGACGCCTCCGAGCTGCTGCCCGAACTGCGATGCAGACAGGGTGGCGGGCGTCATGTTGAAATCGCCGATGAGGATCCACGGAAGACGAATGGCTGGCAAAAGGCCGCCTATCTTCTGGAAGCGCCGGCGGTTGGCACCTCGCACCCCCGGCGACGGTAGGCCGCGCACCGTGGCGATGACGACCGAGTACCCAGTCATGCGCACCACCGTCGCCACGAAGCCGTCCAAGGAGGTCTGGTCCAGCGCCGACAAGTGCTGGCTGGCGACGGTGGTCTCGCATAGACGATGAGCTTGGAGGTGGAACTGACTCATGAAGAGCTCCCCGCCCTCGTTCGAACGGACCTCGCCTTCCTCTGTAGTCGCGCCCCCTGCTCCCCGCGCTGAATTGCGATCCAACCGTGGCCGAGCAGCCCTCGCCGACTTATACCACTTGCGAAGCTCCAATTCATCATGAACTTGCGCCCCCTCTAAGCTCCAAAATTGATAGCTTTTCAAATTCTTCCGCACAAGCTTCCACACCTCATCCGCGAGCGCCGTGACGTTGGCGTAGAACAGGGGCGTCGCGGCAGTCTCCTCCCCCTGCTGAGGAAGCTGCCCCCGTTCTGGAGGTGGGGACTGGGCCGACCGTCAAGGCGCCGCGGCCGCGGCCGCTGCACCTCCCTTGCCCTTCGCCTTCGCCTTGGCCGCCACTGCCGTGAACTTGGCGTCCGACGAGCGCGACGCCTCCTCCTGCAGCGCACGCTCCTTCTCTACGTCCTGCTCGTCGGCGGTCTTGACCATCGGATTCTCGGTGAGCTTCGAGTCCTCCGCTGTCGAGCTCTTGCCGCCTTCTGCTGGAGCTGCTGCTGCACCCTGTACTGCTTCTCCTGACACACCCTTCCTCTTCTTGGACAAGCGCTCCGCGAGCTGGGCCTTCAACTTCTTGGTCTTCTCCCACCAGTCGGAGACCTGCTCTTCTTTGCCTTCGAAGTGCTGCTTGACTTGCTGGAACTCGTCGTTGAGCTTCTGCACCGCTGAGGTGAAGCGTCGGTTTCCTCGATCTGGTCGAAGAAGGCCTGGTCCCACTGCAGCTTGAACAACTTCGGCGTCTCCGTGTCGTCGTCGCCCTTCACTCCCTGGGGCTTGTCCAATCCCTCGGCCTTCGTGAGGGCGATGGCGGCTGCTTTCTTGGCCTGATCAGCCTCCGCAAGCTTCCTGGCAATCTTATTTTCTTTGAAACCCGCTGCAGCTAGATTCGAGCGAAGCCTGATGACTGATTGAACTGCTTGATCGCGCATGTGCTCGGCATTCCTGAAGATGCCGCCCGCGCGCTCGAGGGCCTCAACTGGCGTGACATTCGTCGAATGCGCCCCCGCCTCGGCCCCCAAGCGCGAGATCTGTGAAGTCAGTGCCGCCTGGAGCGAGCTGTCCTCCGTGGCCTGCAGCGCCGCCAGCAGAAGGTCTGTGACGTCGTCGCTCTTGCCACGTGCTTTGCCCTTTTTTGCGGCCACCTGGCGATGCACTCCGCGCGCGGCCAGCGCCGTGGTGCTTCGGCTCGTCGCCGTAGCCGTCCCAACACTCGTGGAAGCCGGGGTCGTCGTCCTCGCCCTCTGCGAAGCTCACCCGTGGCTTGGTCTGGGGCCTGAACAGCTTGAGCTCCGTCTGGCAATGCGCACACCTCATTTTGTTCAGCACAGTCATGAAATTCCACTCGCGCCTGCGGCACGATGTGCAACACGCCCACAAACCCTTGGGATCGGGAGCCCTGGCGGGAAACCTGGGAACGATGGGCCCTCTGTCTTGGTCGGTGGTCTGGGGGCCTGGCGAGCCCCAGACCAAAGTCCCTCAAGCACTGCGGGGAAGTGCAGAGGATTGGGTGCCCAAATCGCTTGAGATCAAAGGGCTAAAGGACGCAAGGAGAAGGGCTAGAGGAACAACCGCGGAAGGACGCAAGGAACATCGAGCACCTTCCGAATCCAAGCTGTTCCTTATTTCAGCGTTTTGGCTGTAGTCGAACTCCCGACTGCGCGCGTCGCCCCATGGGGAGGGGGCCGGCGCGCACACACACCGCGTGAGCAGAGTCGGGGCAGGCCGAAGGGGGCCTCCGCCTGCCGAGGGCCGCCACCGAGCTGGTGAGCGCCTTCATGGCGCCCCCGCGCACGCCGCGCCATGGCGACCCCCAAGCGGATTATGTTGCCCCCATGGTACTTCAAGACCACATCCCAGAAATAATTTCGAGCAACCGGAAAAGTGTCGAAAAAGTGTCGAAATAGTGTCCGTACAGAGTCGGACGAGTGTCTCCCAGGGCGACACGTGAAAGCCCTCGAGTTTCGGTACTCTTTTGGTGCTCGACATTATTTCTGGTGATCAAGGCTAAAATACGTTGGAACATCATAACAAGAGGAACCTCCCCGTGGGTTTGCGCGGGGAGCAAGACATCGGCACCCGTGACGAACGAACGACACACGCCCATACAGTCGGGCTTGATTGGAGAGGACACGCGAGAAGACACAAGACCCTTTCGAGGGCCACATCGCCACAGGAATGTACGAAGCATGGGTCGCGAGACACAGGACAGAAGGGTACCCTTGATCTGGTAGGGTCGACCTACTAATCCGGGCCGCCTGTACCCACAGGGGCATCCGCGGGAGGAGGACTGGCTATGGTCGTGGGTGCGGGTCGTCGGACCCTGTGGGATGCTCTCGTTCGAGCGAGGATCCCCATTCGACACCACGCACCCATAGCGCCCTCCGTCCCAACTGAGGGTATGGGTGCGTGTTGTTCGGTCGTCAATATCGGCGCCATCTCCGACTGACAGCGCCAATGTGGCCATGCAGCTTGACAGAGTCAATGGATGGTCCCGAAGGATGTGCCGCCGTCGCGTCTCCAGGGGTCCCTCGAATTCCAGGGAAGTCTCCAGAGGTGCCCGGAAGTCTTCAATATGCACGTGGACGTGTATTGCGGGGTGGGTGTTAGGTCGGGCATGTCCCCCTACAGGCGGATGTTGGACGACAAATTCAAAAGAGTCAACAAGAAAAAACAGAAACAGTCAGAACATCATCCAAACATCCTCCACCTGTTATGCTTTACTGTTTTGGAGTATTCCTCCTGTAGAGGGACACGCCCGACGTAAGGTGGGTGTCGTCATCCTGCTCCCCGCTTCGCGCGCGCCTCCGAGCGCCGGTGGCCTCCAGCCTGGGCCCAGAATAGAATAGGCACTGCACCCTACGAAATGCTTAAGCAAACATGGGTTAAGAAATTCATAGTCTCAGAATTTTCAACAACAACCCATAATTTCTATCAAAATCTTAGTATTTACATTGAAACATGAATAAGAATCGAGACTCTGGCGAAAAACGTAAGTTTTCTTAAGCATCGCCCAGGGTGTGGAGGGGCTCGTGCCTCGACCTTCCATTTTTGGCTTGGCGTTTGGGGCTGGATCTGGTGGGCGGGCCGGCGAGGCGGACGACCCAGGCCAAGCCCAGTCTCCTGATGCATTTTGGGAGGGAGCTCGAGCTACAGGACACTCTTAGAGACGAAATGCAAACATTCGATAGGTAATGATCAGCAGTTCTAGCCTCAAGTACCGAGACGCCTCGAATCGTTCTACTACGAAAGCTGCGACCGAAAAACTATTCGCACTCTGTAACTTTTTGAGAGGCGATGTTTGGGGTGGGGCGACGCTCCAACTGGGCACTGGGCACCAGCTGCAGGGCACATCTGTCGAAAAGGCGACAGGAGGGGAGAGAGAAGGCAGGATGGGAGGGGAGGATGCAGGAAGGGCAGGAGGGGAGGAAGAGACCAGAAAGGCACCTGAAGGAGAATGAGACCAGAGCGCGGCGTTTCGAGATTCGTTGGGGCATCTTGGGGGAGACCCCTCGCCGCCACGGCTGCATCTCGATTTCGATATCTCCTACCTTGCCGTAATTAGGCGCTGCGAGGAGTGTCATCAGGTCGCTACAAGCCACCTCAAACGCCCCGTCGGCTCCAACGCTCTTCTCCTGCTGCGGGCCCTGTGACTCTGTGACCGAATAATTGGCGCAACCCCGCCCACGCTGTAAGGGGTAACAAGGCGTAAAGGAAGTGACTCGACACACGAGGAACAGGCATCAGGGGAAGGGGATACCGAGTCTCTCGACACAGCGGTGGCCGCAGGGCGTCCGATAGCACTGTGCTCCCATCGGTGCCAAACGTGGGAACGGGGGGTGACCCCTCACTCAAGCAACCAGCTTGGGAACTCCCCGATTGCGGCACAGGGCCGAAAAACCTGTGCAATTCGAAGGAGATCGAAATGTGGGATGGGGACGGAGACGACGAGGAGGGAGGACGATAACGAGGAAGGGAGGAGGCCGCTGGCGGCGGCGGCGGCGGCGGCGGCGGCGGCCGCGCGACGACGACGACGACGACGACGACGACGACGACGACGACGACGACGACGACGACGACGACGACGACGAGCGGGCACCGACCGAGGCCTTGGCGGCGTGCTGGCCCGCGGCGGCCGGCGCCAGCCGCCGCAGCTGCCGCAGCCCGAAGGCCCGCTCGCCCGCGCTCGCGGATGCCAGTTGCCTCGCTTCGCGGCGCTCGTCGGGAGGGGGCCCGGGGCGCGGCGGCGGGACCGGCGGCGTTCCCGGTTGCTTGCCACTCCCCTGCGTGGCCCACCCGCCGTCTGTCGCCCCTCCCTCCTGCTCCTCCTCCTTTCCTCCTCCTACCCTCCTCTTCACACTCCAACTCCTCCTCTCCTCCTCCACCTCCACCTCCACCTCCTCCTCCTCCTCCTCCTCCTCCTCCTCCTCCTCCTCCTCCTCTCGTCCTTCCGGTTAAAGGGCCAGCCGTTTTCTGCCTGAGCTTCGCTTCGGAAAGAGGTTTGAGGTTTCTGGATATTGCTTTGCCCTTTGACTTATCGGGCCGCTCACTAGCCGAGTCAGACAAACCGCCCCACCACCCAGCACTCTAGGACAACTCGTTACGTGTCCGCGCTCTGCAGGAATACCCGCCCATAATAGTACCTTCCGCTTGCGTCTTCGACTTATAAGCCATGTCGGACCAACCACCCCACCCACCCAGCACGTACTAACATGAACCACGAGTTTGGTCTACCGATCGCTGCGGACTTGCGTCACTGCTGGTCGCAGCGTCGCCGCATTCGGGGCCAGCCAAAAAAGCGCGACGGCTGCGCCAAGATGCCATGTGGCGCGCCAGACGCAATCCATCCGGCCGCTTCGTCGCCCGTGCGACCAGCCCAGGCTGCAAGGAGTGACGACCGAATGGGCAACGAGCAATCTTTGTTGTCCGCGGCCCCCGCACCCGCAACCTCGAACAGTTTCGCAGCCCGCGCGCGCGCTGCGCCCGACGTCGCCTGGAGCGGGCCTGCGCCCGGGCCCTCGGAACCCAGCGCGTTCATGCGCTCGTCGACCACCCAAGGGCCCTCGAGCAAATAATCGCCCGCGACTGCGCGAGCGCGGCCCCCGTCGACCAAGTGGCCCGGCAGCGAGGCGACCGCCTACGTCCCGAGGCCGAAAATTTGTTCCTCTTGGACAAAATTATGGGAACACCCATGGATCCAATTGGATCCTATTTCGGATGTGGTAGAGTTTCGTGGATCCTATTTATGTGCTGCGCGGATCCAATTTCCTGTGTGTGAAAAAAAAAACGATGGATCCATTTAATTCCAGAGAAAAAATATTTAATAATAATAATTAACATCCAGGACCCAGGGGAAATGGGATCCGCGGGGCACCGCAAGTGAAGCATCATGCTATCCACGGTGCTGTGGATATGCAGACCCATGCTATGATTCTACGGGGCAGGGGGGTCTTCCCAGGATGACGAGGGGAAGGATGATGGAAGAGGCACGAGGAGGTGGGAGGAGAAGAGGGGGGACGCAAGGGTGGAGAGAGGATGAAGAATCAGGGAAGAGGGGGGAGGAGGAAGGAAGAGGAGGAGGAGGAGAAGGAGGAGGAGGGAGGAGGGGGGAGAGAGGAGGGAGGCGGACGGACGAAGGAGGAAAGAGGAGGAGGGAGGGGATAGGAGGAGGCGGGGGGAGGGTCGGGAGGAGGAGGAGGAGAGGAAGGGATGAGGGAGGGCGAAGACACACAAGCAAAGTGTCCAAGTCGGAAGCTCGAGCGCCACAGCGGGCCCGGCCATTTCCCTTCACTTCTCCCATCACATGTGGTTGCTCGAGCGCCGCCGCGGGCCTGGCCATCTCCCGAAAGTCCTCAAATTTGCTCGAATGCCACAGCGGGCCCGGCCAACCCCCGCATCTCCAACCATAACATATCTACCCCACCTCGAAAAGAGCGCTACATGTATCCGCTCACCTGAACGGCGCGTCGCTTCCGACATGTGGTGCTCGAGAGAAAAGCCTTTCGGCCTGCGGAAGTGGGATTTCGAACTCCCCCTACGTAGTGGGTGCTAAATCCTGCATCCCCAGGCCGAAAGTTTTTTCCTCTTGGACTGAAATATGGGAACATCCATGTATCCAATTGGATCCTTTTTTTCGGGTGTGGGAGAATTTCGTGGATCCTATTTCTGTGCTGCGCGGATCCAATTTCCTGTGTGTGAAAAAAGCCATGGATCCATTTATTTCCCGGGAATATATAGAATAATAATAATAATAATGATAATAATAAGCGTCGGGGCCCAGGGGAAATGGGATCCGCGGGGCACCGCAAGTGAAGCATCATGCTATCCACGGTGCTGTGGATATGCAGACCCATGCTATGATTCTACGGGGCAGGGGGGTCTTCCCAGGATGACGAGGGGAAGGATGATGGAAGAGGCACGAGGAGGTGGGAGGAGAAGAGGGGGGACGCAAGGGTGGAGAGAGGATGAATAATCAGGGAAGAGGGGGGAGGAGGAAGGAAGAGGAGGAGGAGGAGAAGGAGGAGGAGGGAGGAGGGAGGAGAGAAAAGGGAGGCGGACGGACGAAGGAGTAAAGAGGAGGAGGGAGGGGATGGGAGGAGGAGGGGGGTAGCGGGAGGAGAAGGACAGGAAGGGATGAGGGAGGGCGAAGACACACAAGCAAAGTGTCCAAGTCGGAAGCTCGAGCGCCACAGCGGGCCCGGCCATTTCCCTTCACTTCTCCAATAACATGTGGTTGCTCGAGCGCCGCCGCGGGCCTGGCCATCTCCCGAAAGTCCTCCC